TATCGCAAACCATAAAACCAATAAAACAACCAATGCTCACCGGCGGTGGATGCCCGAAGACGGCCCTTTCTATTAAAGATGCACTGGAAGCCCTGGAGGGCAAATGGAAGCTGTTAATCCTCTTCGCCTTATCGGAAGGCCCACTAAGATTTAAGCAAATCTCAAAGGAGGTAGCGGGTATCACCGACAAGACATTGTCTAAAGAGCTGAAAAGTTTAGAGGGAAATAAATTGATCAACAGAGTGGTGCATGATACGTTTCCGCCAATGGTGGAGTACTCCATAACAGCGCATGGGAAGTCGTTGGAAAAAGTGATGGAAGAGCTGCATTACTGGGGGCTGGCGCATCGTAAAGAGATTATGGGTAAATGAACAGAGGCAGCCCTTGTACGGGGACTGCCTCTGTTATCTTTAAATATGCCTTTTGCTACAGCTTACTGAGCTTAATGTTCCTCATTTCTTTCGTATTGGTATTCATAATAGAAATGATGTAAATGCCACTGGTCATTGTAGCGGCTGCCTGATAGTTGATCGTATTGAATCCCTTCTTTAAAAACCTGTTCTCAGAGAGTAGCACTTTACCGGTAACATCGGTCAGGCTAACGGTATATTGATCATCAGCCGGGCTGTTTATATTCAGGTTGAATGCATCCTGAACTGGATTGGGATAACTGCTCACCTCAAAAAGCGCTGCATACTTTGGTACCGTCTTACTTGCCTTTACCTGGTCCATACCGTAATTTTTATTTTCGGCAGGCCGCATCATGGCCGCTTGTCCAAAGAAGTAAACCCTGCATAGTCCGTCATTGCCACGATAAAAAACCTGGTTACCTTCACCCACATCAATAGATCCGGAAACATTATGCAGGGAAGGGGCTTGCCAGCTATTTTCTATCCAGTCATGCACCCATAAGTTCGTGGCTGTGTTGAACCAGTAAACATGCATCTTGCCGTCGGTGCCGCGGTAGAATAGCTGATTCCCTTCACCCACAGACAGGTTGCCGGATACATTCTGATCATTCCCGGCACCGTTGATCATCCAGCCGTGGTGCCAGGTGCCTAACGTATGGTCAAAGT